ATAAAAAATAAAAAATTATATACTTAATAAATAATAGTGCCCTATCATCACTTAAGTGACGCAAAAAGTAAAAAAAACTGAAAAGTAAATTTTAAAAACTAAAAAAAGAACCTTTTATCAAAATAAATGTATTAAATTGAAATTTTAATCTTTTGAATTTCAACTAAGAAGGATGTGATTTCTATCACTGAGCTGGATTTAGCCTGATAATAACATTTCAGACCTTCCAACAGAATTGAACAGAATAGAAGCCCTTTTTTTGGTTAGGGGTTTAATTTATAATTAGTTTCAAAAATGTGTAATTAGTTTGGAAAATAAGACCTGGATTTAATTTATTCCTCGAGGTTTCTTTTCAAAATTTAGATGCATATCCATCAAAATATATATAAAACAAATAACAAAAACATAACTTGTAACTTAAATTTATGTTTTCAATTGAGTACATATTGTCATTAAATTCAAATAAACTTGATTTCTTTTTGGCAAATTTTCGCATTAACCCCCCACGTTAAACGAAAGCTTAAAAATTGTACCTTTTTTTTTTGTTTCAAACTTGAAAAGTAGGAAGGGATTAATTTTTGGAGTAGAAACCAAGATATTTTGAAAATGTTTGAATGAGCCAAATATTGATTGAGTTTATAACTAATTTTTGGGGGTAAAAATGAGACAAAAATTTAAATAAAAATTTGAATTATGGCAGTTAAATCCTAGTGTATAACTAAGATTTTTTTTAATGATGTTAATGAAAAAAAAAACTAATAATTTGTTATTAAAAAAATGAATATTTTGTGAAAAAAAAAAGATTAAAAAACCTAGTAGTTTTTCATAAGAGTTAAATTTTATTTTTGACACGACAAAAAATTTTAAATATCTTTTACCTATTTGTTTTATTGTCTAATGAATTTATTTGACATTAAACCCATCTTAAAGGACCTCCCATTTTTTTCATTTTCAAGCCATCAATCACATATATACTTAACTCGGAGCTCTTAGTCGGACGTCCTCTTCAAAATAGGGGAGAAAGCAAGATATCTGAAAATATACCATAACATGCATGATTAATATTATTTTTACGCAATGGAAAGGTAAATAGACCAGAGTCTCATAATTAAAAGCAGAAAATCTGATAATCCAACCGAATAGAACAGGGAAATTAGACGTTCCAACTAACATAAACAAAGAACAAGCTATAGGATTTCAACTTGAAGGGGAAACTGCTCGCTTATGTTCCAGAAAAGTCAATCAACTTGCTCTCTACTCCAGCCAAGGCTTCATTTTTCTCTTAAAAATTCTTCCCGTAGCATATGTCGAAATAATAATTTCAACAAGGAGGGGAAACTGCAGCCATACAAAAATTGTAACTGGAATGCTAGCCATCATAATTACGGGAATAATTGCCCACCATCTATCTTGCAGTATAATCAAAAGAGCAGCAGAAAAGCTAACCGTCATTGCTGCAATAGAAATAAAAAGAGTGGAAAGGCCAATGATCAACTTCCTGGGCAAGGACTCGAGAAAATCTTCCTGGGCGAAGCGCGATGTTAGGATTCCCAAAAACATCAAGACTGCAGTTGATGCACTAAAGAAGGAAATCGCATCAGATATTACAAATATCATAAATGATCTTTTCAGTAAAAAATTGGGAAACCCATCTTGAGCATTGCCGCCTGGAAGAGTAAAGGCTGCAGCAAACATGATCGTAATAATGAGAGTACCGACAACACTAAAAGAACTTGCTGTGTCCCTCATCCACTTTTCCCCCTCTTTCACTAATTCCTTATGGCTATTTGAAAATACTTCATAAGCGGTTTCATCCTCTCCATTTTTAGATTCTTTGCACCATTCTGGAACAATTCTTTCCACCTCCTGCATTCGGTTAACAAAAGTACACATTAAGTTTTAGAACAACAAATTAGGATTTATTTTTGAAACAAATAAATAAGTTTCACCTACTTTATATATAAATTTTTAAGAGAGTTAAAGCACACTTCATGTATAAAAATAAATTAAAATAATTAACAACAATAAGTTTAAAATGCTATAGTTGAGTGGGCAAGTAAGATAAAAACCTTAAACCACTGTAGTTCTCTTTGCATCTGCAATGCAGGGCTGAAGATTCGGGCAAGTTGAGAGGGAGGAGCTATCTCCCCTGCCACATGTAACACATTATTGCCGTTGCTATCTATGTCATTAAGAATACCGAGTCTAGATTCCTCATGAATGCCATATAGGAGGTTGAAAATGTTTTCTTGACGATATTGGATTGCTATCATGAAAACGTTTCTTCCATCATTATGAGGGAAAATGATTGGTGGGATTACTTTCAATAGCTCAGGGACGAATTCAACAATGCCCTGCTTGGTCGCTTCAAACATTGCGACAAGCACTCCACAATTCCACAGAGATTGAACTTTTAATGTTGAAATTTGCTCACACATATATCGAAGAATCTTAAGGGTATAGAGATGCATCAACTTCAAATCATAAATTTGTTTGATTCCTAAGTAAATCAAGAATTAATTAACATATATAATGAAAGGCATAAAAATAGAATAATAAAAGTATAAATGCTAAAATACGTGAAAAAAATAAAGCTCCATAGTTGAGGGTGGGTTACCAGAGATATTTTGAAGCATTAAGCTCAATCTAAGGTGTCGATCAAATACTCCAAAAGTAAATCCCTGTTAGAACAGGTATAAACGAAAACAATACAAAAACTTATTTTAGTTTTACATTATTATAATTAATATTATTTTATATAAATTCACAT